AGGGACAGCAGCAGCAGTAGAAGTAGTAGTAGCAGCAAGGACAGCAGCAGCAGTAGCAGTAGTAGCAGCAAGGACAGCAGTAGCAGCAGCCGAAGCAGGAGTAACAGAAGCAAGGGCAGTAACAGCAGCAGCAAAGGCAGCATAGGTAGCAGCAGCAGTAGGAAAGCATCTGGTATAAAGTATAAGGCTAAGAAGCAGTCCAAGACTGCATTGTTTCCACATGCTAGCACTGCTGAAGGAGAGGCAAGTGGCCGTCAGCAGAAGCATAAAACCCAGAGTAGCAGCAGAAGCACCAGCAGCGGCACCAGCAGCAGCAGTGAAAGCAGTGGCGCTTCCCAACGTCACAGCAAATATGACAAACAAGCTGAGACGAAATATGTCAAGTCCCAAATAAACAGTCACAGTAGCTACGATGTTTCTACGGAACAGGTGACATTTTTATTACTTTGACTTCTACTAGGAGGTGATCTTCATTAGGCTATAGGTAATAACTTCTTTTGGAATTTTGCAGGAATTTCATCTCCCAAAAGTCTACCGGCTTCGCTTCAGGTCTGCTCACATCCATTGGGTAGGTCCTTAATTCAAGTGCACATTTCCATGGTAGCTACAGTTGATATGATCAAGCATATTTCTGAAGGGCTTTATTTGAGCTATGTCACTTGGCCATTCCATACTGTCCAATAACAATATTGATGATGGCCAAAATAAGCAGATTTATTACTAAAATGCTGTTACACTCAATCCTTTTATTTTTGCACCACTTGCAATCCTCAAGTTTGGGTCAGGACACCTTTGCACAAGATGACGTACAATGCAGCCAAAGCTAGGTTAACAAAGACCATGGGGGAATTATAAAATAGCAGAATGTTCCAATAGGAATAGATATGTCCACAGTGTTTAGGCAATCATGGCAAAATCGTTAGCTATGCGGAGTTTTTCAGAAACCAGGTTCTGTACCCATTATTGCACAAAGTGTTTTTGAGTATATATTAGAAGGGTGATAATGTAGTAGCTTTTGTATGTGTTACCTGTGCAGTTATTATGTATCTTTTTTATGAAAGAGGAAGATGATTTACAGTGTTTTTCATTAAATTGTAATCTCTTTCTTTTTTCTGGGTATGGATATATTTGATCACTTACTAAGTGTCACTTTTCATTTTCCCTAACATTAGACCTGAATGATGTGATGCTGCCATTTGCAATTACTGTCTATGCAGCCTTCCTTTCAGCAGAGAGGTCCAAGTGGATCTGAGGCACATTCCTACCCAACATATTTCATGTCTGTATATGATAATAAAAATAATACACAAGATATTCTAAGTTTTTTACCTGTAAAGGGAGGCTGATAGCTCTGGGGTTTATGTCTACACTGTAAAACTAGAGGCCATATCATATTTTTTTCACTTATTTTTATTTCATAGCATCCAGATCACAAGGTATCAAGCAGCTCATCATCATCTTCCTCTGAGTCGGGAAACATCTACGGAAACAGCAGCAGCAGTAGCAGCAGTAGCAGAAGCAGTCACCTGAGTGGCACCAGCAGCAGCAGCAGCAGCCACCACCATGGAGAAAATTCTGCCCACAGCTCAAGGAGGAGCCATGTGAGCAGAGGAGTCAGCATCCACCACCACAGCCATGGCTCCAGCCTGAGACGTGAGGTGTGACTGGCGTATGGAACCCACAAGCAGCTGGGCTTATCCAGCTGCTGAGCAGGAGCTGTAGATGTGGTGGTATTCTAACCAGCTGAGGGGGTTAGGCTCAAGACAGACACTAAAAGTTAAGTCTGTCAACTGTAAGTCAAAGTCCATTGAGATATTTTCCCCTCATTAACATATTTTTTTTCAAATTCCCTTGGGTTCAGGCCCAAGGGAATTTGTATTCTGGTTCCTTTGCTTTATTCTTCTTCATTTCTGAAGGTGTTTGCAGTATGCAAAAGCCTGGATTTGGAAATTATGAAAGTTGAAGGGAATGAGGTTGTAATTAAAGGGGAAAGAATTTTCTTTTTCCTATGAAAGCCCAGAATACAAAATCAGTTGCATTAAGGTAAAAATGAGGAGGAAATAAATAATTCTGCCTAATTATTTTTAGATGTAGACTGGAGGTCATGAGTGCATGCAGAGTATAACTAAAATCACACATTCCATGGGCATTACTGATTGGTAAATGTGAAGACCCATTAAGCACAGATCATCTTTATTATGCACTTAGTATTCTATAATTGTGCTACATAAAGATATCTACATAATAATAGCACAAATAGCTCTGAAAAAGCTGGCAATGACTAGGGGAACTCTGCCACTGACAAGGATTTGGAAATAATTGATTGGCTTGAAGAAACTATAGTAGAGTAAAAAAAAGTTGTGAACATGTATACTGCTCTAAAAATCTCTAGTATGTATTGTAGGCAGCTATTTGAAATATCAAAATAATGAACAAAATCTTACTATGTGCATAAAGACAGCTTGGAAGTGTTTTGGATCCCTCATAAAAACAATCATGTGTATGAAAATTTCTGGTGGTAATTGAATAATCAAAATTTCAAAAAATTTTTCCTTAAATATTGGGGTATAGAAATATATACTGCAGACTGATAAAGGACAAGGGCTGCTTCCTGCTATCAGCACACATAAACTGGACTATAGGTTCTCTAGTGAATACACAGAAATACTTAAGCACAGATGGTTGGGGATTGTTTTTCAGCGCAACTTCCTGGGAGACGTAATTCCACCTGGCATTACGATTGTGGCACAGGCAGTAAGGAGTGACAACAGAAATCAAGGTTATCAGGCTACAGCATATGTTCGTTCTGATGCTGCCAAAGTTGATGTGCAACTAGTTGTGGTTCAGCTGGCTGAAACCAATTGGAAAGCGTGTGCTGATGCTGTGATACTGCCTCTGAAAGCACAGGTAAGCACATAGGCAGCTTTGCCCAGAGAGACCTCTACAAAGACCAGAGTAAGCACAGAGAACCTGCTGATTTGGAGAATTAGACAGGAAACACATACTCATTTTGAAATGTTTCACAAAGTTTGTGTAGTTTCAGAAAATGTTCCTACCTTTCACTACACTTCTGAACTAAAAAAAAAAACCAAAAAAAGAATATAAAAAATACTCAGAGACTTCAAAATCTAGCAAAAAATACTGATTTTCAAGATACATCAAAATACTACCAGCAGAAGCATAAAAAATGTTTGAAAAATCGACAGCTTCATTACTATCTATTTACTATTTGCTCTACTATGAGTTTTCTTGTCTGGGAATCTGCCCAATTTTCTCTATATAATTCATTTCAGAAAACAGATAATTCAAATGCATTTGCAATGTTGTATTTCTTAGGATTTATATGAAAAGATCAAAAAAGCAAATTTGGGTAATGGGTGAGCCTGAGAGAGCATCATAAATGAAGGAACAGGTCTTTCCTTTTTTTGCATCTCCATATGCTGTGCTTCCCATGCTCCTTTTAAGACAAGAAATCTTTGCATAGCAACTTACCAAACTCTGCTTTTTGCAGCTGCAATAACAAATTCAGTATGATATTTAGCATAGAAACAAGTAGGGTGGGTTAAATTCAGGAGATCTTGGGGAAGGCTAATAGAAATTATAGTGCAGTTGTTTCTAGAAAAAAATACATATTGATTATGAAGTTACCAAGTCTAAGGAAATCTCAGGATGTTTCAGTGGCTGCTTTGAGACAGGAAAATGTATATGTAGCTCTGCAAGACTAGCAAACATTTCTCCTACTATGCCTCAGATTTTTCCATAGGTAGTCTAAATTTCCCCGTTAGCCTGTTTAGAGCAAAAGATTGGAAACATTAAGGATCAATGCAAAACTTCGAAATGGTCAAGGTTAGTTCTGTGATTCTTTCCTGAAGTTTGAGTGACTGTTTCCCTGTTTATAAAGGCCAGACTGAGATGGGGCAAGGAGTGCCGGAACTACAGGATATCAGCCGTGGCTACCACAGGCCAACTGGCAAGAAAGCCAGCTGCACAGCTGAAGGTGCAATGGGGAAAGCTTCCTTCCTGGATTAAAAAGACTAGCACGGCGTATGTAATTCATTCTTTCCTATGTTATTTTGCCTTTCTTACCCTGGTTGGATTTTTAAAACCATTGACAGTATTGGATGAAATTTTTCAACCCAAACATGTTGGAGGGGGCAATGTCTGGATGGAAAACACAAGTTCAGTGGCAAAAAGTGTTTTATGAACATGCTCTACTTTCTACATGTGTTCATATTAAAAAACATCCCCCAAATATTTAAAAACTTAGTATGCTTGATTTCACTCTCCATACTAAGTTATTTGATATTTCAGTTCAAAATGCCTTTTTGCTTCAAAATGTTCTTTTATTCAGTCTCAAAAAAATCCGCAGTTAAAATGGGCAAAATAAAGCCAATATGTTTCCTCTAGATAAAATCAAACATTTAATATGGCATGAAATATTATTTCCTTGACTTTTCAGTGCTTTCATTTATTCCTGATTTTTCAGTTCTGCCCCCATGTCTGCTTTTGCTCATGTACTTGAGTTTGTCATATCTTGTTTATTTCTAGATTCATGCAATACGTTCCTGGTGTAGCACTCGTGTTGGGCTTCTCAGAAGCACATCAGAGAAATCCATCTCATGAATTTATAGTAAGGGCAGCTGCAACATCTCCACGAACAATTGATACAGTAATTAAAGCGCCTGGGGTATGTTAAATTTTTATTTTCCTTTTCCTTACCTAGAATGGATTTTCAACTAATAACATTTTTATACTTAACATAAAGAGACAAAAAGCAAAACATTCCCTTTTAGAGAAGTTGCTTTATACCTTAGATGGGTGTTGAAATACAACAGTTCCCTTGATTCTATGCTGTTTTGGTCCAGTGTAGCAGTAAGCTGAAAATCAGACTCTGTATTCAGGTACCTTATTTGCACACTGAGAACAACAGCAAGGCCCAAATTGTCTCAAGTATGACTGCCCGGCACTCACACCTTTATTCATTTTACCCCATGTGATTAGTTCTTGTATGAGGGTCTCAGCAAACAGTGGGACCTTGAGAACACTTTGCACTCTGCTGCAGCTATGAACAGCATCTCTCTGTGTTGGCAGTCAAGTCCCACCTCTGCAGTAACCAAGCTTGATGTGAGTCTGAGCAAGTTATGACAGCCACAAATACAACTTTGCCCTAACCAAACGAGCACTTAGTCACCCTCTCAGAGCAGCCTGCACAGGCTGGATCTGCAAAATCCCACTGATTAATTGGTCCTTGTCCACCAAATCCCTATGTACCACTTTGAAAAATTTCCCCTGTGGATCTCTGGCAAATTAATAATAGCTAGCTATTCATACACAGAGAAATCAGTGTGTCTCTAACCTTCCATGGTGCTTCAGTATTGCAGGATCTTTAATATGTGATAATGAAGAAGTAGGTACACTAGGTATTAATTTGATTCTCTTGGTAAATATAATTTGTAGCTACAGTGAGGGATCTTACTCCAGTCTCATGCCAGTCTTCAGCATTTTATGGATGATCTTCACCTTTCCAGACACATCCATCGGCTTACTCAGTTACTTAACTTGTTACCTTATTTTTTACAAGTCACTTAATTATCACTTAAACTTCATGTGTCAATTACTTTCCAATGTCCTTAACAATTTCTTGAAAGCCAAGAAGTATGACTAGCTTCCTCATAAAAGCTGAAGGTTTGGGTGCATCCTGGAGATACTAACACAACTGCAATTGTATAAAGGCATCTTCAAGATTTTTTGCAAGGATAAGAGTGGGGTTTTGTTTGCAGTCAGATGTTGAGCATATGGTTCAATTGATCTTAATGTGTTTTCATTTCTTTTTTTTTCAGGTAACACTTTACTGTCAGGCACTCCGACTGCCATTCACCCTGCCCTTAGGCCCATCTCCAAATTATGAGACTCGAGATATCACTGCCTGGAATTTGTTTCCTGAAATAGCTTCACAAATAGCACAAGAAGATCAATGTAAATGTTACTTATATGCTTGTCTCATGAATAAGAAATCTGTGTAGATCCATACTCTGTCATGACTGGGCCTTGCCTTTCCTTGTAGTGGTCTTATAGGGAAGCACAGCATCCCCAGCACTGCTTTCTCAACAGCTCGTTCCCTCACAGGGAAGCATATTTGTTGGCAGGTGAATGAAGAGATTTCAAACTGCTGTAAACATTCAGGGTTTGTGAATCACTCCTGTCAGCAAGGACTAGAGGTTGTCTTTTGCCCCTCCAGAGAAGGTGCCAGCTCTGCACTGAGAGGCATCAGATGTACAAGACAGCCATGTATTTTCTGCCCTGTTTATTTTATTCAAAAAGGAGTCATGTGAGTCTTAGCTGTTTGGTGCCTACTACTCCTGTGGGAAATGTGAAGTTTTTATCAAGGTTCATTACTGTTTCCAGTTTTTCGAGAATTTTGTACTTTTTAGTCCCTGTTAGCTTGAGTTTTGTGTTTGGCATGTAATCAAATCAATGATTTTATCAACTAGCGTAGTATATACTGGGTAATTATTTTGTAGTGCTTTCTTGTCCTTACAGGCTCTGGCTTCTGCCAAGGAGATGATGAAGTTTCTTTTGTGTTTCCTGGGTAGTTCAGTCTCATAGAGGTGGCTTTCAATACTTTGCAGCAACACGTATCCCATGGTCACATCTGCCATTTCTTTTCTGGTTTTGTTTTGCAGCCACATGTGAAATCAGAGAGCAAGATTTTAAAACATTTGATCGCGTGAGCTATGCATATTCTTTCAATAAAAGCTGCAATTTGGTAGTGGCTCAAGACTGTACTGAACACCCAAAATTCATCATTACTACAAGAAAGGTTGATCCTCAGTCTTTCTCAAGGGAGGTTCATATAAATACAACATCAGCGTAAGTGTGGTTTATATGAAGGGCTCAGAAATTAGGTATAAAGTTTCAGGGCATTAGTCTGGGGATGGGAGATGCCTAGCTCCTAGGCGAAACTAGTTTTCGATTAGGTATTGAGGAAAAGACACAATTTCCAGAAGGAATTCTCATCTAAGACTCTTTCGTGTAGTTGCTCTTGTTTTGAATTTCACAGACACCAATACCTGATAACATGCTCGTTAAGTCCCCATGGTGTCTTCTCTTCATAGGTTGAATCTCAAAGTCCCAAAGAATTTTGCACTTTGGAAAGAAAACTGCTCATTCATTCATTCAAAATTTGGATATTCAATTTGGTTCTCTGCTAGCTCTGGTCACAAATACCTGTACTTTTCATGTTTTAAATTAACCACTAGTGTATCTTCTTTGATTTTTGTTTTGTCTGAAGGAACATCACAATCTGTCCTGCCTCAAATTCATCACTCCTTGTGGCATGCAATGAAGAACCAGTCCTATCACACAGTGGAGTTACTGAGTATGAAAAAGGTAAGCTGTGATACCCAGTTTTCCAGGACTGGCCTGGGAACTAAATATCAAGAAGTTTTTATAAATTCCACAGAAAAATCTCAGCAAAAGGAAAACACAAGTGGGAATAATTCAAAGAACAGCTAGAGACTGCTTTCTTAACATTTGTATTGACTTATGTTCCTGTTTCCTATAGTATACACACTCTTGATTTCCTCCAGCATAACTGACAGGTGAATAAAGCCCTTTCTTATAGATATCATATATCCAGGTTGCTGAGTGTTCAGGAAAACAATTCTTGTTATAGTCACAGATAGATGCATGATTCAGACATTTAGCTGGAGCACCACCAATGTACTTATCATTTTAAGATTTAGCAGACTGGATACAAAAGTCAGTTCCAACTGTAGGTAACAGCAGTAGAATAATTTTGAAAATAAAGAAACTATTTATTCTATTTTTGCTTTCTCTCTCCATCTAAATATATATAAATATTTAAAAAATCATCGTGAAAAAAGAAAAATTGTGATGTATTTTGAGCTGCTCAGTTTCCCCATTAATTCAAAATTAAGCAGATCACCTATATGATTCACCAATCTCTTTACAGAAAATGTTAAAATTTATAAAAATGGAACAACAGTTATCGTAGAAGTTCCAACACTCGGACTGAAGAAGGTGACTTTTGATGGTGTGAACCTTAAGGTAACTGGGCTTACTTTCAAAGTTACTGCTTTCTTTCTGTCTAGTACCTTGCCAATGTAATAGGCCAATACTCCAGTATTCACTACAAAGATGTGCTGTTTTACAGGTTACTGTTGCTTCATGGATGAGAGGAAAGACCTGTGGAGTTTGCGGTAATAATGACAGAGAAAAGCACAATGAACTCCTCATGCCAAACCATAAGCTGGCACACAGCTGTTCCACGTTTGTTCATTCCTGGGTATTGCTAGAAGAGACCTGCTCTGGTGGTGAGTAGATCTGGAAACACTTTATGCTTGGGGAGAATACAGTTTCACTTTCCCTGTACTGACAGCTAGAAGAAAACTTTTTTTAAAGCAGCAGATATCTTTTGCTTAGAAATTGCAATAGCAATACATATCCATTTCAACTTTATTAACCATTGACTGTTTAAAACATTACTTGTGAATATAGAGAATATATATTCCAGCAAAAGTCTTCATCTCATGTGCAGTTCAATGTTAAATAACTGATTCTAATTTCTTACACTGAGTAGCTTTTTTCTTGAGATGAAAAATTAGGCCTAATCTTGCTCCCTCTGGAAAAAAGTGTGATTTTCACCACTGAATCAAAACAGTTTCAGCTGTTGTCTGCAGACTTAATTTAACCAAACAAGTTGCAGGCTATGAAGGCAGTGTCAGATTCTACTTTAATGCACATTTTCAAAGCGCAAAAAATTTTCATTTTTGTTCTGCACCTTCTGAGGGTGCAGTCTCAGGAAAATGTTTAGAAATACTCTTACAGTAAAAAAGCTTTATCTCACATGTATCTGGAAAAATAATCATAGTCTCCCATAACATCAATACAGTTTTGTTTAGTAGGTCTCCATTTACCTTGGACCTGAGATAACTTTATTGAAGTTAATGTTGTTTTCTCCTTGACTTCAGTGGCAGCAGAATTATACTTATCTGTGTGTCAGGAAACAGAGTCATAGCTGGGATCCTGTTAAGTTACATTATACCTTTCTAGTGAGATAATTGCAGCATTATAAAAATCATCCAATACAAAAATTATTCTTGATGTTATTATATAAATGCTGCTGGGTTTTTATCCATTCACTATGGTTGACATTTTTCCTAATGCAATGAAGTAGCCATTGTGCTTGCAGTGTCTATTCTTAATAGCTTTCAGACATGAGAGGTTATTTTCTGTGTATTATATAGTTCTAAAAAACTGAGTATACATGATTCCATTTGGGTTATATTGTGCAATTAGATTTTAAAAATAGCTCCCCTTTCAGACTCCTTCCTCAACTTATTATCATCCTATCTCGGTAACCTCACTACTGTGAAAATGGTTTGTCAGATACCTGTGTTTTAATAAAAGCTGAAGAGAAAATATGGACCTTTATTATTGCAGGGATCGACTGGGATTTATTTCTACAATTTTAACTACCTTTCCTTTTCCTCTTAGGGTGCAAGCTGCAGCGCAGTTATGTGAAGCTGAATCGAAATCCTACTATTGATGGTGAGGAATCTACGTGCTACTCTGTTGACCCAGTGCTGAAATGTATGAAAGACTGTACTCCAATCGAAAAATCTTCAGTAAAGGTTGGCTTCCACTGCTTCCCAAAAGGTATGATATTTTTCTCTCTCTCTGTGTCACATACTGCAGGAGCTGTCAGACCACTCAAAAGAACAAAACACAGCACAGCCATACACAGACCTGTATTGCTCTGACTCCCCTCTGAGCTGCTGGTTTTAATCCCATTAGTATTTGCTATAACCACAGACAGAGCTGGCCAACTGAAAGCTAGTTTAGATGATGGCAGGTAGCATCATCTGAAAAAAACATTTGAGGTGGTAAAAGGGACAACAATTAACAAAATAGCATTTGTCATGTCTTCAGAATCTCCATAAAGTTGAGATAAGGAACACTGAGTCCTTCTATGCACATTACAGTCTGCAATTTTGTGTGGACCAGGGCAAGCAAGGCAATTGAAAGTCAGTCAAGTAGTGTGACATGACTGCTGTGATTAGACTGCCATGCTATGCCACTGTGCAATACATCAGCAAAAACATATTGCTGAAAGGTTCTCTAGATTGTTCCAAAAAATGGTTTGGTTTTGAATGCATTTTATACCCACACACTCACACCACAGATTTAAACAAAAAAAAAACCAAAACTGAACGAACAAACAGAACCACAAAACAAAACAAAAAACACACACACAAAAATAAACCCCAACTGAGCCTTTCAGTTATACCAATTTCTTATGAATGTGATGCATTGTCTAACACAGGTTCATACTGAAGTTATATAAGCATGACAGGATAATCCAGCCTGGAACCTACAGATATTATTGGTGCATTCCTCCCTAAATCTTTTAATTAATTACAGAGTATATATTTAACTTGGAGGGAAACCTGCCATTAGGGAGTATCTACTGAAATGGTCTGTTCTCTGTGTTCACCATTGTTGGCCAAATCCATTGTTACCTAGGATAATCCAGTGTAGTTTCACTGAAGCCAATGGACCCTTGTATTGATTAGTACTGGAGAGGAACAAAGCATTTTATGTCTGAATTTAAACATCTGTGTAGAACTTTGCACTTTGCTCATGCTATTAATATCTGCAATGTGCTGAATCAGCCCATAAAAGCAGAGTATCTCTCTATAAAGATAGTCAACTATCTGCAACAGCCTATTCAACAAGTAGCACAGAGAGAGTGCTAATAGTTTTCTGATGGCTCCCTGAGATGAGAATAGATGTTTTCTTTCATGAATAGAAAAACCCACCCTCAACAAAAAAAAACCTTCCAAAATCTTGTTATATCCATGTTTCACAGATTTCTTTTGTGTACTCAAGTCTGTATCTCTGAAATGTCATAACCCCAGGCCACTCACTGCCTCAGAATATTAGGCTATAATAAAGCTGTCTCATTCTCTCACAAAACTGTTTGAGAAAAGAGGAAAATCAGAAAAAAAGATATGTTAGTTGTCGCAGCTAGTGCTGCTTTTAGAGCAACTGCAGGTTTCTCTGGTTCATTTACTGAAGCAGAGACTGGGAAGTCTGCTAGCAGCACTCCTAATCAAGGGCTTTATTTATTTATTTATCCTGAGGTGGAGGGGGAAAAGGAGGACAAGGGGGAGGAGGAAGGAAAAAGATGCCATTTGTTATTCTTTAGCAAGACGATTGCTTTTCCTCAGGCTAAGGATCAACAGAAAAACAAGGCCAGCCCTTAAAAACTGTTCTTTTCCTTTCTTTGTTGGATGACTTGGAGAAGCAGTATAAAGGAAATCCTCATCTTTCTCAGTCTGGGAACATGTATTTGCATATAGTGGACTAAGAGCTTTTCTCTCAAGAGTAAGAGATGTACTGTACATAAAAAACAAAATTCAGACATTTTATAGCATTTCTCACTTCACAGCCTGAAAATATATATTTTTTTCAAAAGCATCTCCAGCACCCTTCTGGAAAATATTTATTATCCAGTTTATCATGCAAAATCTGTGCTTCAGGTTGGACAGTAATTTAGCCAAGGAGAGCGTTAACCTTTCAGAAAATAAGTGACTGATACAACCTGAACCCATACAGCAGTCTCCAGACTTCCCTGTGATAAGAGATGGCATGTTATAAACGTACTGTCCAACTAAGGGATAAAACAAATGGAAGTAAAATTATGAAAGCTTTACCCATTCTCATTATACAAACTTAATCTGAATAGATGCCCTAATATTCTTCCTCCAGATGCAATGATAAACCTTCATCTAACTAAGAATATTTATTGGGAGGATGAATATCATTATTCCATTTAGATTATTTCAGCATTAAGGGATATGGCTTATTCAAGCTGCTGTTGATAAAGCAGTGTGGTAAGGTTAATACTGCAACTGACAATGCTCTGCCAGATTTCACAATATATGGGAAACTTTAATTAGGAGTTTATGAACCTCTGAAAATTCTCCAAAGGGCTTATCCTTCAGAATGAACTTCGAAAAATAGTCTGCTGAAATATCCAGTGATATGCAGCACTAACATGAAAAGAGATTGCTGATGTGGATTGGTACGTGGTGGTCTTACACTGACAGCAGCTACCTCCAGCACTTTTACAGCCTCCTGCCTGTTGTCTTTGTGCTTCATGAAATGTAATTCATTTTGGTTTTAGGGAAGTGTTATAGTAATTATATCATGGATGGAAATCCTGCTCCAAGTCAATGACTCAGTTAGATGTCAGTCGTGAGGGCAGGATTTCATTCTTTGCTTGATGAGGGAGTTGACAGCCATCAAAACAGTATTTCCTTGAAATGTGTTAATTTGCTTGATATTAGTTAACAATGGTTTCACTCTTCTGACAGAAACTGCTGTAAGCCTGCTGGAATGGCAGAGAAGCAGCGATAAGAAATCTGCATCTGAGGATGTTGTGGAGTCTGTGGATGCTGACATTGATTGTACCTGCACTGGTGACTGTATTTAAACTAAACGCTTTAGTGTTGTGCTATAGACATACTACACAAATAATTGAATAGCTGGACAGATAAGGGAACATAACAGCCATAGTAAAATATTAAGAAAGGTGCTTGAAGAAAATAAGTCTATTGCAAAGTCAAATGCATTATGTACAGTCTGCACTGCTTAATAAATATGTTGTTCATTAAATAAGTATTCATGTGGTCTCTCTCTTTATTTTTCCCTATCAACAAAACAATCAGGCCAACTATAATATTATCCAGAAATTCTGCTCCCTTTTATCTGCAATATAATTACAGCAGTCCTCTCTTAAAATTATGTTCTCTAGGTGATGAAAGGAAAACATGATTACGGCTACTGCTAACATTCCATTGTGCAAAGAATTTCATATTTAGCATACTAAAGACACAGTAAGCATTTGTTTTCTTTTATGTTTTCTGGTAAAAAGCAAAGTCTGTTCTTGGAACCAATCTGCAAAAAAATACATTTTACTCCCAGCAAGACCATTAGCCTTAGTACATTCTACAAAGGAATGAATTGGACTGCTAGACTCCCACTGTAGCTTTCCAGAGAGCTATAGTGTGTGACACAGTCCCATTTTCATTTAAATTTCAATGGATGTGCTGTTGCTTCATGAGCTAAAAGTGTGAATAGGAACTTTTTTTTTTTTTGCTTTACCATCTCCTATTGTATATCAATGAAAATGATGCCTTCAAAAACTTCAGGGAACAATAATACATCAAGTAGCATTGCAAATACTCCAAAAAGTAATATATAGAAAGATATGTAAGATCAATAGCATCATAAAGCTAAAATAAAGTACAAGCAGGACAGTTAGACTGTGTTTAACCAGTGAAGAATCAATCTACTAGATTTCACTGTGCAGAAAGCTAATTCCCTCCCACCACAGGAGACCAGGAACAGGTGGCACCTTCAAACTCCAAGCAACAGCACAATATCTCTTCACCTTATGTCACAAATCAGCCGTGCAGTGACCCATGATATGTTGTCTATAACCGGCAATAGCAGCCAGCATGCTCTTCCAAAAAAAACCTTAGCATGGGCAAGG